GCAGATCTACAGACACGGCAACGAACAGATCGAGGTTTATACCACCGTCTTCTCCCCCCAGGGTGAGTGCAGCACACTTCACCTCTCAGCAGACACACCTTAACACCTCGCTTTGTGTCCATGCCGAGTTCAGGTGCTGATGGGCGGCGCCCTTTACTTCTCATGAATCTGACCGTCAGATCGGGTCAGAGGCGCCCGTCACAGCGTTTGAAGCTTCTCTGACTGCAGCGACCCTGACGATTGGTGCGTTTGCTGCTGAAGCTCCAGATGTTACAGTGGGTGGTGTTCAGCAGCTGGAGTGTGACGATCGCTGTCTCCTGAACCCGCAGACACGGATCAGCTGCTGTGAGCCGAGCGCTGTCCGGAGGACGCCACGATCTCCAGACAGACTCCAGCGTCTGAACTCTCCGCTGTCTTCATCAGAGCGTGACGATGATGCGGTCACGGGCTCTTCATCGCTGTTTTACCCCCACAATCTCACTCACAGCTGAGCCCTCTACATCGCCTCGCTGGGCGCCAGATGTTAAACAGCTCACGCCGCTGACATCAGACTCAGAGAAAATACATCAAGTTTCTTAGTTCCACCATTAAAACGTTTTCTGTCAGCGTCAGTAAATGACCTGTTTGTAGGAAAAGACCTGAAAATCTTTCGATGCTTTTCTGAAGAAAAACGGAGAAACTCAGCAAAGAGCGACTCGTCAGCTCAGGTCCTCTGTGACAGCGACACACGGCGACCTTTGGCCTCGATGATGCGATATCAGACCACCGTCGTCTGCTTCAGGAAACCGAAGCTTCATCATCGCTCCGTGTGGAGCGAGCTAACCCGCTCACAGCGCGGTCGGTCTTGGGTTCAAATACACCCGTTCATGTGAACCCTGCGTGATAAAGATTACACTGTTGTGAAGTCCTGCCAGGTGTCAGCCAATCAGAAGGTCTGAGGACAGCTGCGAGCGGATCAACAGGAAGTTGATCTTCACAGTGAGGAAAAGTTAAACAGCTCTTTCGTGAACCGTGAAGGTCTTAGATATCACCGCTCTACTTCCTGTGATGAGTCTCAGGTGTGTTTGATCCTTGAACATTCACTTCCTGCTCTAATTCAGCCTGATCCTGTTTCCCGGCGTCTCCAACGCCGCAGCGTTTCCTGGGATCAGACTCTGACAGGATCGTCTCGGACCGCTGAATGGAATAAAGCAGCAAGTGATGCATCTTTACACCTTTATACAAACTAATCTGGTGTAACAGCGGCTTGAGGACGCTCAGTGACAACCATCGACCAGGTGACCGGTGAACGCCTTCAGCAGCGTTTTAACCACACGCTTCGATCAGGCTCGCTTCAGAGACCGTCCCCTCGACCTGACACATCTTTAGTTATAAGACTGAACACGAGGAGAGGGTCAGATATCCATGGAAAGGTGTGAAACAGGTAACCTGGTGGATGTTAAAAACATGACATCGGACCTTCGCCGCTTTGGACAGAACAGCGAGGAAGAGAGGCAGCAGAAAATCAGCTGTTCCTTAAATCACACAGATGATCTTGCAGTGTGTCTCCTTTAGTCTGTGTCAGATCTGATCTTATCTAAAGCTCACAGTCTCTTCTTCCTCACAGGAAGCAGACGTTTCCTCGCTTTTCATGTTTGTTTGTAAGAATCAAATGTATGTTTTTCTTTTCTGAACTGAAAACGAACCTTCTCGTATGTCAGGCTGACACCACGAATCACCAACATTACCAACTCTAAAGCTTTTTGTGCCCAGAAGCACTGTGCACACAAATATACGACCCACAATGTCAGTAAAACAGGAACACACACACACAGGGGTTTTGTGGGATCTGTACTGATGAGCTGATTGGTTGATGTGACTTCCTGTGTTTGTCAGTCTGCAGGTTGAGGACAAGGACGAGATATGTGGGAGCAGAGAAGGTAAGACCCGACACCTGTCACGTGGGAAACATTTCTACAGCTCCAACACTCTTAAAACCTTCATCCGAACACATCATCAAACCTTTATTCTGAAAATCTGAAACTAAGAAACACATCTTATTTTGAAAGGCATGTAAGCAGTTTAGTCCAGCTAATAACCCGTTTGTCTTGATGTCAGGGTTCAGGCTCTGGCTCGGGACCAGAGAGGCTAATCCGTGTTACATCAGCACGACCTCTGACCTCTGTGTATTCACAGCCTGCTGAGCCGATTAAAGGCGCACACACGCGTCCTCAGAGTGACATTCATTCATAAAAGCATCGCTTTCGTTCTCACTAATATAAACTTGACATCTGCACGATATTTTTAACATTTAAACTACTTTAAAACTTGCAGAATTTGTCAGTTTAAATTTATAAAAAGCAAGAATTAAACACATCTCATCTTCTTTTATTGGGCATTTATACTTATTATCTGCAGGATTTATGTTTTTGTGATATAAAACCACCTTTTGAAATACAAAATGCTGACATGTTAACACGTTTTTAATGTTCTGAAACATGAATAAATCAGAAATTAAATCACTGGGGCTTTTGAAACCTCTAAACTATCTTTTGATGATTATATTATGGTTTGAAAAGCCGAATGCACCAACAGAATGATGACGTTTAAATGAACGGCTCCTGTTTTCTGAATATTTCTGAGTTTTTCATGAACTTTCTTTAATGTCTTTTATAAAGTGCTGTTCAGGTTTGATCCTCTGGGGGGCGATATAGTCATAAGCACTTCTGACTGTAACTGGCAGATGGCGGTGGCGAGGATCCAGTACCGGGGCCGCTGGCCGAAGGAGCTGAACCTGAACCAGGGGGACCTGGTCCAGGTTCTGTTTAAGGAGGATGAGGCGTGGTGGTTCGGGCGGCTGAAGAACGGGGAGGAGGGTTACTTCCCCGCCGCCTGTGTGGAGCTGCTGCAGGTAACGGCGCTCACCTGGCCTCAACCAGTATGAGGTCCTTTACTCTGAAAAGCAGGTCCCTGAAAAGACCTTCCTCTGATTTAAGAGTGACTGAAGAGCAGCAACATGTTCGACCTTTGAGCAAAAACTAAAGTGAGCGTTGTGACACGACACGCAGCCTTGATGTGGCCGGCCTGTTTTCACCTGTAATCCCACTCTGGTACCTGGCAGCAGTAATGGAAACCACAGATTAGTTTTAAACAGGCTTCTGAGGGATTAAAGGCTCGTGGACGCTCCAGGTACACCTGTAAAAATACCTGTGCAGTTCCAACATTCATTTATCTACTAATGCAAAAAACGTCATTTAGTTCAGAATAAAGAAGGTGAGTTCTCCTGGTTTCCTCTGTGCTGACAGGTGGAGGTTTGTAAAGGTGTTACAGGTGACCTGTCCAGGTGGAGCTTACCTGTAGCTCTGTGGCAGATGGGGTTGATATGAGGAAGGCACACCTTTTAACCGTTAAAAAAACTTCTTAAACTGCCAATAATTCATTAAAGGCGTTACGATATACTACCTCACCTTTGAGCTGAATTTAGGGCGCTGCAGCCCATCTGCTCACCTGTGGTCACCTGTCTGCTCACCTGTGTCACATCTTCACCAGATTTAAAGGTGTTCAGGTGTTGAAATGACTTTAACCCTGAATAGCAAACATTGGTTTTAACCTCTCGCTTCTGTTTGTAACCTGAAACAAACTCAGCAGCTGATTGGCTCACAGCCAGCAGTGATGTAATCCTGTGTGTGTTTCACAGGGTGGAGCGTCTTCCATAGCCACGCCCACACTGCTGAGGAGAGGCTCAGTACCAGCAGTTGTATTGACCGCAGGCGCCCCCTGTGGCTGCACGAGGTAACTACAAAAACAGGTTTTACAGCAACAAAACTTTATTTAAACACTGAGCAGAGACAAACACTGAGGCTCTTTATTGTTTTAATGTTTTTTATTGGATGCAGTTTACTTTCAAAGTTCAGCTTTTAAATGCAGATCATCACTAATGTGACTTCTCTTGTATATCAGAAGCTTTTATTTGTCCTTTTGTCTCTCTGGAGTAGATTTCTTGTGACGTGAGGTTCTCCGGTTCCAAACATACAGTTAGATTTTTATGGATTGTTGGCGGGACGATCGTCAAACACAGAGAGAACTTTGGGGGAAACTCGCTGTGTGTGCCGAGGGCCAAAATAAAGCCCTCTGAATGTGCGTCGGCGGTTTTCACTGTAAAACGTGGACCTGATGACTTTCTCTCCTTTCAGCGGTCGCAGCACCCCGAAGCTGCTCAGGAAGAACAGCATCCGCCGCCCGCTCGGCCTCGATGGGCCCTCAGTGGCGGCGGCAGGAACGGGAGGCTCCTCCGCGGCTCCTCAGGGGTCTCCGAGCCTCCTCCACCGAGTCCTGGCCAAATCCAGGAGGAAGAGCTGCCCGCATCTCACCCACATCCACCACCCTGCCCCCGACACCGGTTCCGTGAACACCGCCTTCCAGCCGGACTAGACCCGAGGTCACTCCTCCTGTTCCTCCTCTGCACGTGACCCGGGAGTCCCAGGGGTCAGGTCCAGGTCGCTGGGAGGCCCTCCTTCATCTGCTCGAGTCTGAAGCGAGTTTCAGAGGCCGATCGAGTCACCTGTCCGTCGAAAACCTCCCAGTCAGCCCCGATCGCCCGACGTCAGCCTCAGCTGGACCCCTCAGACGGGGCGGAGCCACCGTCGCTGTCAGAGACGCTCGCTGAGGCTTCAGAAAAAGGTCGGGACACCGGTCCAGCTTCATTGCTTTATTAAAACTGTACAGTCACTTTGTTTTTGTGTCACTTCACAAATGTGATGTTTAAAAAATAAATAAAAGCATTTAAAATCCATTCCAATATCAATCAATACAATCAATAAATCTATTGTGAGGGTTAAAAGAGCAAAGTGTTAAAAACATTCATGTTTCAAGCAAGAAATCAAGTTTTACACGTTTAAAGGAGCAGTTCATAAAATCAGCACTAAAAACTGTCTAAAAGGTTAAAATCCGTTAAAATACACGTGAAGATCACCATCATCCTCAATCAATCAAACAATCAATCAATCATCAATCAATCAATCAATCAGTCAAACAATCAATCAGTCAGTCAATCAGTCAAACAAACAAAGAATCAATCAATCAGTCAGTCAGTCAGTCAGTCAGTCAAACAAAGAATCAATCAATCAATCAATCAATCAATCAATCAATCAGTCAGTCAGTCAAACGTCACACGCTGATGAGGCCGCGCTGATGCTGAAACACTCATGATTGGAGGGCCGACAGACTGAGCACGCTCTGAAGTTTCAGGATGACCAGCTGGAACAAAGGAGAGGAAGAGGAGGAGTCAGACACTGAGTCAGCTGATCAGGACAAAATAAACGCCTTGGCTGTCAGTCCGTCTTTCTGCTCAGCCGTCTGTCCAAGCAGCTAAAAGCACAGCTGTGAGCGAGCGACGCCACGATGCTGCAGCCTGAGACTCAAACGTGTGTCTGTGCCTTTAAACTGCCCGTACGCATCATCGGCCCAAGCGTACGCATCATCAAAATATGGTCGCCACTGACTCCCACAAACATGGAGGTGAGTTTGCATGTGTGCACGGTAAGAAGATGTCACGCGCACGTCACTAAGCAAAGACTTCCTGGGTGGACACAGCGACCTTGCCCCGCCCACCCACTTCAAATCCAACAAACATTTGAGCTGCCATCATTTTAAAGATATGAATGCAAGTTTGTAGCGGTGATCAGAGGTCAACCCCCCAACACACACACGCACACACACATGCACACACATGTCAATCAGCTGATGGTGTGTGTGCTGCCGTCATTTAAAGACATTTAAACGTTTCTGCAGATATTCAGCGGTCGGTGCGTCTCAGTCGGACCCATCAGAGGCTCTGCTGGTGCGTGTCAGGTTCACAGGCCTCAGCTTGGACACCCTAAAATACAAAGTATGAGTCTGTCTTTGTTCCATGTGATGAATGAAACCTCCAGAAACTTGCATTCATGTCTTTAAAATGATGGCAGCACAAGCGTTTGTTGGATTTGAAGAGGGTGGG